GCGAGGCGACGAGGCGAGGCGACACACGCTGGGCTGGCTGGCTCGCCCGGAGGATCGCTGGCTCGCTCGGTCGCGCACCGCTTGTTGTCCCTCGTCGGCGTGCTGGTCGGTGCGTTGGCGGTCCGAGGCCGGTCCGGCCGTGCGGCTGGACCTGGACCGGTGCGGCGTGCGGCTTTCGCGTCGAGTGACACGACGGCGGCGTGGCGGCATTTCCTCGCCGCGGCCGCGGTGGCGGCTGCTTTCTAGTGTGTGTAATTACACGACGCGAAGCCGATGTCTTCGCTCGTCGCCGTGCTGCTGCACGTGGCCGTGTTTGTTGTGTACTGTACCGCCGCGTCCGCGTCGTCCGCGGCCCCAAACGTGGCGGCTTGACAATTTGGTGGCGCGCCAACGCCGTGGCGGTCCGAAGCGTTAGCGGGCTGAATAAATTACCCCGCGCGGCGAGCCTCCGCGGCCCCGTCCCGTCCCGTTCGTTTCCGTTCCGTTTGAGTCGGATGCTTGATCTGTCCAGATCACACACACAGACGCACGTATACACACGGACACACAGCCGGCGCCTCGCCTCCTGCCAATAGGACGCGACTTTCCACGCGACAGTGTGTCGCTTTGGTCGTCCCCTTTTCTTATTTTCTCTCATTCCCACGACGGGCTGTTGGATCTTTGTCGCGACTCTTTGACGGCGCCCGCGCGGGCGGGGTTCGATCCGGCGACCTTTGCGTCGTGGGGTGGGCCCCCGAGACCGCGCGGCCACCGCGGCGCCGGGACGGGGCGTCATTGGGCGCCCTATCGGTGTGCTGCCGGGTCGAGTTGCGAAAATGGATCGGTGAGGGCCGCGACGGCCGCGAGGGCCCGGAGGGAGCAGCCCGATAAAGCTGCGGCCCCGCCCTTAATTCGCCGCGGACGTGACGTCACCGCCCAGGCGCCGAGGCTCCGGTCTCCAGGGGCTGTGCTAGTGTGCCAGGCTCGGCCACGCTTCGCCTCCTTATCGCCCCGATGCTTGGCCCGGCTTTGGCCCTCCGCGGGGCCGCCGAGGGCCGACGGCGACACGCGAGCCCATTGCGCCGTGCTGGGCCGTGCTGGGCCGGAGCGGCTGGGCTGGGCCCACGCTAGACGCTCAAGGCTCGCGACGGCGAGGACGGCGAGGGCGTTTGCGCCACGGCGACGCCTCGTCGCCTTGAGCGCGTTGTCTCTGGAAAGTTTGGGTGGCGGCCCAGCCCTCCAGGCCTAGAGCCCAGCGCGGCGTGTTGCGGTAGGGCTCGACCCGACCCTCGAACCGGCCGGGGTGGGACGGGGCGGGACGGGACTTGTTGGGTGATCCAGAAAGTTTGTCCGGCTGGTCGCGTTGCTTCGCCTTGCTGTCGTCGGGACGGCCGTCTCGTATCGGGGACGCGGTGACGCACGTGGAGCGTCTTCGGTTTGGTTCCGTCAAAGCCTGTGCGTCCTAGTGGGTCAGGCGCTGGTACGCCACCCCCTGGCCACCCCCTGGTGCGGTCGGGCGGGACGGGCGGGCCTGGCGGGGGTGGCCACGACGCCGTGCTGTGCTGCTGCTCAGGCGGGCCAGGCGCGGCCCGAGCTGGGACGGGCATGGCGAAGTAGGTCATGAGGTCGCTCGGCGCGGGCTGCGCTGCGCCGCGCCGCGCTACGCCCGTCGGTCCGGCCCAGCCAGCCAGCCAGCCAGCCCGCGGCAGGGGGAAAGCAAAGGGACCAGCCTGGCCCGGGCCGCCAGCCGCCAGGCCCGACCTCCGCGCAAGTAGTTCATGGTCTTGCAAAACGGCTGCTGCGCCTTGGCTGCGCCCGCCGCCTTGGCCCCGGTCAAGTACAGGGCCTCGGAGGCTGTCTGTCTGGGCCTGGCGGTCTGGCTGCGGCTGCCTGCTTGCCTGGCCGTGTCGGATGCACGGAGTGGCACGGAGTGCGTGGTCCTGGCGCGCTGGCGCATCAGCGCTTTGGTCCGGAGAGCGGCGTGGTGGTGCAGTGGGTGGGCCCCGGAGTGCAGCTCTGGGTCCACGGCCCGGACGGCCCGGACGGCCTGGACCCGGGCGGGGCAGCGGGGCACCAAGGCGGACGGCGGACGCTGGGCTGGTCGATGGCGCCAGGCTGCGCCAGGCTGGCCAGGCAGTGGCGGTGGGCGGCGTGGCGTCGAGGCGCTCTGCTCGTCACACGCTCGCCGCCATATGGCAGCGCACCGTGACACGCCGTGCGGGTGCATTTTGGCCGAGGTTGTGGCCAGGCCTCGGGCCAGGCGGGCCCCGCCCTCTAGGCCGGACCGGACGTGGCGCTGGACCGCTGGACTGCTCTTTGCACCGCGCTTCGGCGATAGCGGGCTTCCCGTTGTCCGCGCGCGTCGTGCACGCTGCACGCACCTGCATGCCATTGCCATGGAGGGAGGGCGATGGACCCGCCGGCAGATACGCGGCGCGCGCGGCGGAGGGCCTCGCCATCGTCATCGCCACCTCGGCCGATAATGCGCGGCCCGCTGGCTGGAACGACGCCGACGGCCACGACGGCCATCGCGTACCTCTCGGCGAAGTCGCCTAGCCCCGGCTCTGCTCGTCGTGAACGCATCACGGCGTCGGCCCGATGCCTCCGAAGGTGAGGAGGCGGGGTGGGGCGCGGGGCGTCGGCGCCGCGCCTCCCCACCCGCGCTTATGCAACGGCACTGCGTGTGCCGGGCAGCGGCGGGGCGGGGCGGGGCAAGGCTTCCGGAGGCGCACGCGCCGCGCCACGCGTCCCGCCCCGAAAATATGTCCGTCACCGCGGATTCGGGATTGAAATGGTCTGGACTGCAGCGTCGGGACTCAGTGTCGCTGGACGCGGAGGAGAGGCGGGGCAAGGCGGGGCAGTGGAGGGGCGATCCCCTCAAGGCTGCGTGAGTGCGGGGTGGAGCGGAGCGGACACTGTCGTGTGTCGGTACGCCTCTGTACGCCGGAAGATGTGCCAACCGCCTCTCACACGCGTGCTCGCTGCCCGCTCCCCGCTCTCGGACGCCAGGCGCTCGCGGCTCACGCTCACGCACTGCCAGGAACACCCAGATGGACGGCCGGGAGCTTGATGTGCCCGATGTGCGCGCCCATTCCCGAGTCCTGGAAACGGTACGCGCGGTGGCGGCCTGGGAGTGTGCATGGGCGGCGGGGCTGCGGGGCGGCCTCGGAGACCAGGAAGTGGCCGGCGGTGGCGGTGGCGCGACGTGTGGGGCCTGGCCGTACTTTATTAGCGTGGCCTGTCGATATCACTGCCGCCGACGGCCCGCCGTGCCTGCCTTGCAGTGCCGTGTCCCCGTGTCGGCCTGCCTCACTTGCCTGACCAGGTCGCATGCGTCCCGCGTCCGGTGTCGGGTTGCGTCCTGGCCGCCGCCTGCCGTGCGTGTATCGTCTTGTCATGTCGCCTGACCCGCCGCCTCAGCCGCCGTCGGTCCGCGACCGGGATCCCGGAGCTGGTGAAGCTGTTGAAGCTAGTGGAGCCCTTCTATTCCTATCCCAGGGGTGCGGCCTGGACGGCCCGCACCGCCCGGACGCTGCGCTCACGTCAATACGTCGCCCCTGCGCCGCGCCCGGCCCGCCCGCACTGCCCCTCGCCTTCCCCGGCCGCGCTGCTCCGCGCTGCGCTGGGCCGTGCACGGCCGTGCAGGACGATCAATAATGGTAGGCAGGCCGGCAGGCTGGGCCGTCCTCACCTGGTGTAAAGTGCAGCCGGGGCACGGCGCGGCGGGCCGGCACACTGATTTCGCACTTTGTCGCCCAAGAGTGAGAGAGAGGAAGAGCGACGAAGGTGCGGTTCGGAATCAGCCCGCAGGCCGCAGGGTGGGCGCGGCTGGCGCGGCCGCCGAGAGCGAGTCCTCTCTCTCTGCGAGATGCATGCAGGCTCGGCGCCAACGCCTGGCGGGGCGGGGCGCGCGGACGGCGGTGGTGGCGGCGGCGGCGGCGGCGGCCCAGGAACCGCGGCGAAGGATGCCGTCGCCGGTGCGACATCTTCCGCGTCTGCTCGTTGAAAAGAGCCCGAGCCGGGCGTCCATTCATTCCAGGCGGCGGCCGCGGTGCGGGAAGGACGTCCCGAGTTATTCCTGGCTCCCCCAATTTGGACGCCTTTCCTTCCTTGACATGGCGAGCTGGCGGAGCTGGCTCCCGAGCGGCGGCGGGCGCGCGTGCGCGTGCATGCGTGTACGTGCGTGATGTCAGCCAGCTGCCGCGGCTACTGCAGTGCAGGCTACTGCAGGCTGCTGCCCCTGGCTAGCCTTGACTCGCTCACCCTGCCACCGGCCGCGGTGCCGTTTTGTCCCGTTACTGTCGATTGCTTGGCCAATTCGCGAAGCGGTGCAGCGAGGACGGCGTCGCGGCCCAGCCAGTTTGACGCGCTCGTGGCGATGACGCCCGTCCGGCTACTCGCCTCGCGTCGCGTCGCGTCGCCGCGGACGTGCGCTAAGTGACACGTGGGAGGCGTATGGCACGCAGGCTCTGTCGGCGAGGGTGGCCTGGTTGACCTGGTTCGCGGTGCGCGCGGTGCGCTGGCTGCCGCGCTGGCTGCCGCGCTGCACCACTGGCTGCCGCGCTGGCTGCCGCGCTGCACCACTGGCGGCCTGGCGGGGGCGGTCGTGGGATCGGGCGCGCCACTTCGCACGACCCGGAGCCAGCCGCAGCAAGCCGCCCAAAGGCTGCACGGCCCCGGGCGGCCCCGGCCCGGCCGCAGTTTCATCAGCGCAGCTCACTTATATAATTGGGGCTGTGCCGGCTGCGGGTATACGGCGCCTTGGCGGTGCTGCGTCGCGCCGCCCGGAGTTTGGCGCCAAGTTGTGCCCGGCCTGGCCAACAAGGGCCTGACGCCCAACCCGAGCCTCGCGCGGGGCTGGACCGGGCAGGGCGGCGTGCACGTGTTGACGCGCGTGAGCCCTGCCAGGCTCTGTGCGCTGCTGCGGCGCCGCGTGCTCGCAGTGCGTGTTGTCTTCGTCTTCCCGACCACCGAGCCGGCTGTACTGACGGTACTGACGTCCGCCCGTTTCCCTGTTTCAGATGGTTCGGCCAGGAGCGGGACTACAATGTCCTCGTCATGGACCTGCTGGGCCCCTCCCTCGAAGACCTGTTCAACTTCTGCTCGCGGCGCTTCACGATCAAGACGGTGCTGATGCTGGCGGACCAGATGATCGGCCGCATCGAGTACGTGCACTGCAAGAGCTTCATCCACAGAGACATCAAGCCCGACAACTTCCTCATGGGCATCGGCAGGCACTGCAACAAGGTGGGTGTTTGCAAGCATCGATTTGCGTTTGGGGATGTTAATTTACAACTTGGAGACGAGTACGGCTGGCGTGGTGCTTGGCGGGGACGACGGGGGTAATGAAGTGGCGCGGGGTGGGGTGGAGGAGGGAGGACTCGGGGAGGACGCCCAGGATGACGACGTAACATGCGGGTCGATTCGGCGCGGCGGGGCGGGGTGACGCACAGCGCGCAGCCATGGCACAGCCAAGAGCTGCGTCGCAGGCGCGGGACGAGACGGGGCGGTACGCGTGTGCGGCGGGAGGGAGGGAGGGGTGCTAGATGTCACCGTGTCGAACGTCGGGACGTCGGCAAGGGCAGGCCGAAGGGTTGGGCCTTGGCTGTCCTGCGGTGCGGCCAGTCAGGCCGGCCGGCCCCACCGCACCGCGCTGCTGTTGCTTGCGGTGGCGCGCGGCCTCTCCCTCCCTCCCCCCGCCGCCTTGATAAGGGCACCGCGACCACGACGCAGTCCTCGTGTGCCGCGTCGCACCGCGCCGCGTGCTGGCCCCGCCCGTCCCGGCTACTATGAATATTCACGATTGCTAAAAATAGTGTGCAAGGGGCTCGCCTTGCCTCCGCCGCGCCGCCAGACAGACCGGGCGGGGCGGCGGAGGGCGGCGCGGGGGCCCTACGCAGCACGCTGCGTGACACGCACGGGCTGCTTAAGCCGGCCGCGCGCCGCGCCGCCCTGCTCCAAGTACACCGGGGAGCAGGTGGCCCACTTCCCCCGCGGCCCGCGGGGTGCGTGACTGACGGCGCCTAGGCCGGCTCGGTGCGCGGTGCTCAGGGGTGGCAGGCGGGGGAGGCCCTCCTTGGGGGTCGCTGGCCTGCCGGTTGGCGGTGACGTCACTGGTACCAGGGTTGCCAGACCCTGAGTAGGCCAGTGCGCCACCAGAGCGCGCTCTGAGCGCCACCGGGCGCCACGGAGGCCAAGTCGCCACAGGTCGCCACCGGACCGCTCAAGTCGCCACTCTGGCGCCACGGGTCGCACTTGATCGCCACCGAGGCGCCACCGTCGCCACCCGTTTCGGCGCGCAGATTCGGCCGGCCGCGGGCCGAGGAGCGCGGAAATGTCCCTAATCCCTGATCCGCTGGGCGAGCGGCGAGCGCGCCGAGCCAAATCGCCACTGGTCGCCACCGATTCCGCGAAGTCGCCACGCCAGCGCCACTCGGGAGGCCAAATCGCCACTCAGGTCGCCACCGAAACTCGGCGCCACTTCGGCGCCACTCGGGCAGGCCGAGCGCCACTTTGGCGCTCTGGCGCCACTTCTGGCAACGCTGACTGGTACCGCAGGGTCCGCAGGGTAGTTCCCTGCGTCATGGCTGACTCGCCGCCCGTTCGACGCCGTGGCTTGCGTTGCTCGTGACGTCACCCTACACCGCCCCGCCTTACGCCCCGGGAGTGTGTGGTCTCACTGAAAATGGCTCCGCGGCGGAGCGTCGGGACGCCGGCAGCCCGTTCGGAACTAACCAGCTGATGGCATCGGCGTCGCAGAAGCGTTATCGCGAGCCGCGCCACGCCACGCCATGCCACGCCGCGGGGCGCCGGGGTTCGCTTATCGGCATTGCCGGCCGATTTGCCGGCCCGTTTTCGTTTTCGTTGATGCTCTCTCGGCCCACGGCCTACGGGTGTAGGCCCACTCTACGTCACGAGTGTGTCGCCTCTTGACCTCTGCATTTACGCTACGTTTGTCTTTCTTCTGCTTTCAGCTGTTCCTCATTGACTTCGGGCTGGCCAAGAAATTCCGTGACTCTCGCACTCGGATGCACATTATTTATCGAGAAGACAAAAACCTCACAGGCACAGCTCGATATGCCTCTATCAATGCACATCTAGGAATTGAACAAAGGTAAGAGTCTATGTCTGTCTGTGTTTTGTGACTGGCTGGGTCTGGGCCAATTGGTTACACTCTTTATTTTGATTACAGTCGCAGAGATGACATGGAGTCACTAGGCTACGTCTTGATGTACTTTAACAGAGGGGCCCTGCCTTGGCAAGGACTCAAGGTAAGTATTGGTGTCTTTGTCTTCTTCCAGGCAAATCACAGCTGGTGCTTGGAATCTTTCCTAATTGGATTTTTATTTTTAGGCCGCTACTAAGAAACAAAAATATGAGAAAATTAGTGAGAAGAAAATGTCAACGCCTGTTGAGGTGTTATGTAAGGTAAGCATTATTTTCATTATGATTTGCAATATTTTAGATTAATGGTGAGTGCGAAGCTTTGTTCTTTTTCAGCGTAACACTACATGTTTCTGTTGTCTTCCTTTCAGGGCTTCCCCGCTGAGTTTGCAATGTACCTCAACTACTGTCGAGGGCTGCGCTTTGAAGAGGCCCCCGACTACATGTACCTCCGGCAGCTGTTCCGCATTCTGTTCCGCACACTGAACCACCAGTACGACTACACATTCGACTGGACCATGTTGAAACAGAAGGCTGCCACATCGGCCGCAGGGGGTGGGTCGGCGGGGACCACTGGTAATATAGGTGGTGCCGGTGCGTCTACGAATGTGGCCGCAACAGGTGAGAACCCGTGAAGTTCCTTCATGTTTGGCTGCTCTTCAGACACCTTTTCCGGTTTTCTCTAGAGACACTGTGTGGTCTTGTGTAGTAGTGGTTGTGGTATGCATGCTGTGTGGAGATCAATTTGCCTCGGGACTGTTGTTTCCCTTTGGATTTCTTTTCTGTAGCACATGAATGCCAAGCGGCTCCAATTTCATTCTCATTTGCTGTCAATGTTAGCGTTCCACTTTGGAAGTGAAATTTCTTATCCTTTGACAGGGATGGCCTCACTTGTTTTACTTTCAATCTTGGCCCTGTAGTAATGAACTGCCTTTTTATACTCTTAATCTTTTGTCTTACTTTAGATTATGTACTTGTGATGTATGTGTTGTTTTGTTCTTTTTTTTTATTTACAAACCTCCTACTCTCCTCCTTATTGTTGCATATACAGACCCTTTCTGTTTTGTAAAATTATTTGTAATGTCAACTTCATAGCAAGAATTTACAATATCTCAATGAGCTATGAATAGCCCAGCTCAATCCTCTTGTTGCCCTCAAAAATATTTTCCTTACAAATCATTTCACCATGATTTTATGTTAAACTGACCCCAATGACAGAGTATTATGTTTTTGTAAGCACGACACTGTATTATGCATCTCTGATGAGCAGTATACTTCCTGGGCAGATGGAGAAATATTTGATCAAGTGCATGTTATCAAGGCTCTGGCTAACCTCTCCCTGCATGTGGTTCAGCCCAATGCAGGCAAAATAAGTCCAAGGCTGTGGCACCTAGGCTCGGATAGCTGAACCCATTCCCCCAATCCCTGCAACCCTGATCTGCCTTTGTGGTAAGGTCCTCCTGACTTCCTACCCTTAGTGTTTGGTTCTCTGTGGTACCTTCTAATTTGCACGTTTTACTTGAATTGTTTCTTTCACCATTTTTCTTTTGGAATGAATGCATGATTTTCTTAGTTGCATGATATGTGGCTCTTTTCAAGGGGGTGACAAGGATGTGGTATATGCGGCATCGACATAAACCCGAAACAATAAGTAGCACCAGGTAAATTCTCAGATAAACTTCATAAATCATAAGAACCATTTCATAAATTATTTTTCTCGTAATTGATTTTTTTTTTTTTTTTTACATTCTCATAACCATTTTTGCATTTTGGGCTCTTCATTGGAGGATTTCAAGCGCACGCGCATAACCGCATCCTATGCAGCTCGTAACCTTGGTACATGGCTTCTCTTTCACCTCTAATGTTCCCCTTGTTTTCTTTCTTTTTTTTTTAGGAAACCGTTAGGGTAACCGAGTCAACAAAGTGCCGTGGCACATTTAGTTCATCTCCATATTTTGTGATCATCTTTGAAAGAAGATGTTTCCGCATTGTTTCCGCAAGAATGGACTTATTCAACTGTGGAAGGAGTGTGTGAGTGATGTCAGTCAAGAAGAACCTTTAAACTTAATTTTTTTCTTTACATTTACTGGTTACTTTTGATCCCGAAGACCGCGACTTTGCTGTACTTTAGTTCATCAATTTGTATAATACAGTCAGTAACTCCCTCCAAAATCTTTGTTTTGATGGAATTGAAAAGCATGGTGACTGTTAATTCAGGCACATGGTTTTCTTTTTGATGCTAATGTTATGTTTTAATCTAAGCATTGTTCCTATCATTCACTTGAGTGATAACAACTTTTTTTTTCTTTTGATTTTGGATCATTTTTTCTGAACCTTTGATTCAACCACTTAATTTATTTTTTTACCTTTAAGGTGATTTCATTACCACATGAAATATTTCAGTGGGGTTAAAACTCCTGCCTCTTGGATGTTGGCATCCTTAAATTGTAATTTAGTGGCTCTCGTCCACTTCAATATTTCAAATACATACTATTCTCAAACCTGTTATCATTTTTATTAAAACATTCGCTTCACACTTCCACAATGTATGTCTCTTTTAACAAAATAAAATGCCCCAAAGTAAATTAAGAGTAAGTGTATATTTTGTTCTCGACCAGTATGGGATATTCATAACAATTCTTTGTGCGCTGGCTTTTCTTAAACTCTCCTTTGTTGCTAAAAATTTTTGTTCTAAATTCTGTGTCTATTGGAGAGCATACATGCAGCTGTTGTTTGCATCATGGTTCATGATTTACTGGTATTCTTCTTAGACATTTAGCTGAACTTCTGCCATGGAAATATTCCCCTACATGACTGAATTTACTGCCAAGCTTCATATTATCATAGTAACTAGCACATATTTCTGTGTTTCTGAATGCTACTTTATGTTTCTAACAAAATCTTTTTACTTCTGACAAACTTCATTGGAGGATGCTAAATTACCATTTCCCCTAATATCTTAATAAGCCTTGTCAGTGAACAAGCTCTGCAATGGACTGCAGTTTCTTTGTACAGTTAAACATGCTTGTTTTAATTATTTACTGAATGTACTTTACTATGAGACAATTTAAGTTATTGTACTGTAACTGAATACATATAGTGCAATATGATGGGCTTATTAATTAGAATGTTCATCTAAGATTGTCTGAATGTGTTATCAACATTAAATGTGCACTTTTGTTCATTCATGTGTTCTTTTTTTTTTCTATGGATGTTTTTTACTGTATAGGTTTTAATGCACCCTCCAATATGGTCATGAGCAATTGTTAACGTTTGAGATCTGTGACAAAAGAGAGATATTGCATCATGTTAAGCTGGCAAGTCAATTCCCACCTCTGTACAAAGTTGAGGATATCTGCTGAAGCTTCTGTTGACCTACATCATCTACATTAGGGTCCTGTGCTATTTATGAATAATTTTTTTGTGTGGGTGTGGTGTGTAGCAACCAATTATTGGTTGTTAATCTGTCCCTGCTTGTGACTTCACCTTTTTTTAAAACAAATTACATAAGTAATTACTAAGAACTAAGTGTGGCCTAGGACAGTGAAAGGTGTGACCGTGATAGGTGATACCCTTTCTATGTTGGTTGCCCTTTATATTTGTTATATAAACAGTTAGGTTCCGGGACAGCTAATGTTTGAGAAAATTTAGTAGCTGGCTTTTGTAAATATCTCACCATCTCCACTAACTGACATGGAAAACCAGATACCTGCCATTTGCAGATAATTTGTTTTCTCCCTCAATTTGACTTTGCCAATGTGAAGATTAAGTTTTTGTTCTGCTAAATTGGCTTATGCCTCCATTAGACATTGGATTTAATATTGTCTTTGAGGCTAGCAAAACTAAGGCTGTGATAAACCTGTACTATGCTAATCAACATGATGCATCTTTGTCTAGCATAAACGTGCCTGGTCTCAAAGCTTTGTTAAATCTTGTACAATGTTACTTTGAGAACGGTAGTCTCTATGCTGCTACTGGCTGACGCGATCTCCAGTCATGTTAGCTTATTTATCATGTCATTTTAGGTTAAGTTTACTTCAAGCACATGGCTAGAGATGCAATGGCATCAAAGGAAGGCATGGGTTTTCCGTTCCATTTTCATTTGATGCCATTGCCATACAAATCTGTGAGCGCCTTTGTTAACTAGACAATGGAATGAGCTCTTTTAAAATGTATAGAGTTTATCTGGTGTGTTTTGTTAGTGGACTTTGTAAGTAAGCATCATCATTGTAAATATTATGCATTAATGTAAGTATATACAGTAACTAATGAGGAGTAGGAATCAAACTTGTGTTTAGGATTTTAATAAATTACCAAATTTAAAGATTGAGTAATTTTCCTTTGAAAAACTCGGATATTTGTTTTAGACATTTTGTTGTAATGCGCCCCTTTCCCCCCTTTTTTTTATGAGACCTTTACCTTGTTTCATGTTTTCCTTTCCCCGCCCTTTTTTTATCTGTTGATCATTGTTTTGCCCCAATTATTGGTCCCTCCTACTGATGTGACCAGTACTGATATCAGAAAGTTGAACATGTATAATGAATTGTAATAAAAAAAAGAAAAATCCTTATTGGTTGTCCCTTTTTTACCTCTCCTTTTCTACTCAAGTTTTTGTTCGAAACGAACTGATTAGGGAGCTAGTATAGAAAACATAATACATGCACACGCTATAGGAGACAATAAACGCACAGTTAAATACGAAGCATTGTTTTCAAAGTACATACGGAGCATTGAGCATCAACCGGTTCTTGAAATTTGTGGAGCCCTCTCCTCGGCAGGCGGCTGATGCCTAGTGCTAGCGCCAGGCCATGGCCAGGCTAGCGAGGCTAGCGAGCAACGCTGGACAGCCTCCGGCGCAGCGGCTGCGATAGTCGGATGATGCGCTCCGAGGCCTGGTAGCGCAGGGCGCCCTGCGACACGGCCGAGGCGGTCTTGAGCTGCAGGTCGCTGGGGTGGGGCTGGGCCACGGCGCGCGGGGAAGGCTTGGCCAGGACTCGCAGGCGCGGCAGCAGGCGTCGCAGGCTGGCGGAGCGTCCGCGCCGCACGGAGCGCTGGTCCTGCGAGTGGTCACGCCGGGGCACCGCGTTGACGCGCAGCCACTCCTGGTGGCGCCTCCACTCTGCGTCCGACATGAGGCGCCGCTGACTGCCGCCGTCGCCCCGCCTGTGCAGCACGCAGCACGGGGTCGCCGTCGTCAACAGTTCAGTTTGGCCTCGGACACGGCGACGACGGCGACGCGGCTACTCACACGAACGGCAGCCGCGGCTTGGACAACGCCTCGAGGCGCGCGCTCACGCGCGACGTCACGCTGCCGCAGGAGTGCGCGGCGCGCGACCTGCAAGGGGTGCATGTAGTCAGAGGGGAGAGGTGTCCGGGCCGTCCGCGCCTCGCCCAAGGCCTCGCAGTACCGGCTGGTGTCGGCGTGCATGTCCAGCTTCCTGGAGGGCGCGATGGACAGCCTGGAAACGTGCGGCGTCGGCTGGGCGCGCAGGGCCGCCTTGGGGATGGGCCAGATGGGGTCCTGCAGCAAGGGCAGCCAGGTCAGCAGTCTCGCTGTCTCTCGCACTCCCGGAATCGGAATCGGTTTGCTGCCCTCGGACTCACCGGCCCCACGCTCAGGTTGGGCTTGGCCACGGACTTGTTCCTCCTGCTGTCGTGCCGGTAGTTGGGCTGAGCCAGCCGCTCCAGCCTGCGTCGCCTGCTCTCCGCCGGGACGCGGGGCTGCCCCGCTCCGCCTGCGCCGCCGTGGCTGCCGTCGGGGCCGCCGTCGACGCTCTGCACCGCGCCCCTCGCGGCAGTGGAGAGCGCGCGCTGGCCGCCCTCGCTGCGGGAGCGCCGCCTGGAACAGCCGCGGGACGGGGGCACTCGTCGTCGCCGTCATCGAAGGGCGGGGCGGGGGAGGACGCCTACCCCTGCAACGCCTGGAGCGTGGGGTGGTACTCGTGCAGCGGCACCCTGTAGCGCGTCGGCAGCCTCCTCCGTGGGTCCCTGCTGCGCCGCTTACGCGAGCGCCCCGTCCACTCCGCGACTCCCGGCGGCAGCCTGCCCTGCTTGCCCTGCTTGCCGTAGTCCAAGTCCTCGCCCAGCTCCGCCACCGGGTCCGTGCCCGCCTCCACGTGCACTGCCCGGAAACAAGCATCAAGGGTTCGAGAGCTGGGCGTGCACCAGGACTGCCAGGACTCAGCTCGCCACCGACGGCGGCGTTGTTGGCGCACCCGGCAGAACCACTTGGCTGCCCTGCGAATCATCCTGGAACGTCCGCACGGCCAGCGGGTCCAGCGGGTCCACGGCGTCCAGGTTCTCGAAGGTGTCCGAGACCTCAGCGCGCTCCAAGTCGGCGGCCTCGCCGTGGCCGTCCTGGCTCTGCTCGTCCAGTGCCATGCAGTCCAGGCTGGCGGTGGTGGGGCTGGTGCTGTGGCTGCAGCTGTACGCCGCGGTGCCCAAGCCCGTCGTTGCCGTGGCCGTGGCCGTGACGCTGTTGGTCCTGGTGGTGCTGGCCGAGATGGCGACGCTGCTGCTCGCGGCCGAGGCCGTGAACACGCTGCCACGCACGCTGCCGTCGTCCATGGTGGGTGGTCTCACGGGCGGTGCTCGAGGCCTGCAGAATGCTCGTAATCGTGAGGCTGGATCGTCGCCTGTCTCTCTCTGTCATAGAGCGAGCCGCAGACAGCAGGGAAAAGGAACGAAAGGAGAGGAAGGAGAGGCAATAGGTGAAGGAAAAGAAGAAGGTTCCCAGCCTCACCCCATCACGTCCGCCGCCATCTTCTGGCGCAGGGTGTCCTCGTCGTCGTCCTCGGCCTCTTCGTTGACGGGGGCGGCCCTCCGCGCCGCACCCTCACCCTGCGCGCCACCGGTCCGCAAGGCGCCCGCCGTCACGGCCACCTCCTTGCCGGTGGCCGCCAGCCTCCCGCTGCTGCAGGTCCACGAGTCGAGCTGCTCCTCCGGCGACTCGGGTGACTCGGGGAGGATGGGCGGGCCATGGACGGCGTGACGCTGCGCCGACACTCTCCGCCGGACCTGCCCCGGGGCGCTGCGTGCCGGGCCGGCCGGGCCCGACCCTGGAGCGGGCGCCGTCGAAGGGCGGCGGACGTGGGGCCGGGGGGCAGGCTCGGCGGTGGCGGGCCGGGGGCAGACCCCGGAGCCGCAGCCCACCCCGGCCCACGCGCCCACCCCCACGCCCCCGATGACGGCGCCGGCCGCCCAGCTCCGCGCGCTGTGTCTCGACGGCCTGGACCGACATGTCCGCGGGTAGGCGTCCCCGACAGTGGACTTGCAGCGGCACCTCTTTCTGCGGTGACAAGGCACAAGGCGCGAGCTGTAGCGGCACCCGGCAGGTGGTCGCGGGGCCACCCGGTGCCGCCATGGTGCCGCAGCGACGCGCAGCGAGTACTACTCGACGCGCACCTGGCGGCGTGCTGCAGGGAGTCCGGTGGCCACTCCGTGCAGTCCGCGTCCATGCCGCTAGTCCGGGCGCCGGCCCGGGGCCGTGCTGGCCGCGCTGGCCGTGGGCCCCATGGCGATGCCGCCCCGGCCGCCCCAGCCTCCGCGGGGGCCGAGGCGGGTGCCAGGGCCGCCAGGGCCGCCGGCCCGCGGGGCCTCCATCACGCTACGCTCCGCGGTGCCGCGCGTGGACTCTGCTAGCCCCCTGCACCGCCTGCATGGTCGCCTGCAAGCCTGCAACGAGCACAGCATCGCAGTGTAGTGTACGGGGCGGTACACGCACCCACGCCCCCTGCTCTGGCGCAGCAATTTTACAAACCGGAAGTGGAGAGGGCGGGGGGCTGCCGGAACAGCCGGAAGGCCCGGCAGCGGGGCGCGGGCCGCGGTTCCGCTCCGAGTGACGGCGACAATCAAATCGACGCCAACAATGCATCGTCTCAGTTCGCACGTTCGCACTCCCGCATCGCGATACGATAGAACACGTTTACGCGGAATACCACCAAATGCCACCTACAGTAGCAGGAAGGCGGCTTGAACCGTGTGCGGCCTGCGCGCGTCGGACGGACGGAGGGCCATGCTCCGACTTCTGCTAGGGACCCTCTCTGTGAGAGATGGGACAGAGCTGACGTCACAGGTCCTCGGGTGTAAATGGGCAAGAAGCTCCCCTTCAAGAGGCTAGCACTCCGGCTGGGGGCCATAAACAATTCGTCTGCGGATACCTGAGTTGGGGGGACCCCTAGTCTCGCACATGGCAGATCTGGTCGGCGTCGGGCCCATTTACACCCGAGGTCTGTGATTGGCTGGAGGCCGCCAGCCTGACCCATCTCTCACAGAGAGGGTCCCTAACTTCTGCCCGGCGTCTCGGAGATACTCCCGACGCGACGCCACCGAGGAGTATTGACGGCAAGCGGCGCCGGGGCGACGCCGCAACCGAGAGACTCTCTGTGTCTGAGGAACTGTGCGAAGTGAATGAGAAATAAAACACGTGCAACAGATTCAAAAGTTTTATTATTTGACCTACATAAATACATAAATAAATAATACTTTCAGCAAAAATTAAATAACCAAAAAAAAAAGAATAAATAAGCAAATAAATAAGTGATGAATAAACAAATACAAAATTGCAGTAACAAATCAACACATTAACAACATCAACTTTGGAAAAAGCACAGCCCTACTCACAAAACGACGGGCTGTGGAGATACCTTAGCGTGATACAGAGCCGCCACCAACGAGTCTACTTGTTATGGTAACATTAATGTGGCACAGGTTTCTAGGTCCTATATTGCTTATTCGCTACATTTAGTACTACCGCTTGCCCGGCCCGACCCGACCGACAACGCTGGCGGCAGATCAGCTGACGATCATATTGGCCGCAAGCCGTGCCTTCCGCCAGCGGCGCAGCGGCGCCAGCCCTCTCACTCGTCCTTGATGGCCTCGATAAGGACGTGCAGGATCTCGTTCGCGCAGGAACACCCGCCTGGCTCCCGCCGCGCCGCCCGCCACCCGCCGCACCTCGCAAGGTGTAGTGGCCTCGGGTGCCGCGGGACGCTTTAGTCGCGCCGTCAGGCCGTCAGGCCGTCAGCCGTCAGGCCGTCTCCCTCACTGCGAACCGAGAGACCGAGACCAGGTTGCAATGAAGCCAGAGACGGGCAGACAGACGGACAGACAGTACCTGCTTCTTTGCCTCCTTCCAAGAAACGCGAGTGGAGAGCGTGGCAGACAGGGTTCCACAGAAGGGTCGGGCAATCACACACTCGACTTAAACGTGTTACGTATTTATTGAACTAGAGAGCATAAAAGGCCTAGTCGACTTGGCGGCCATGCGGCGGCCGCGGCGGGGAGTTCCCCTCGCGAGGGACGAGGACAGACAGAGGGAGAGATCGCGCGAGGCAGAGCGAGACAGAGTCCGGCGCGCTGACGACGCATGAATGACTGTCGCTGTCCTCGGCCGCTCGCTTGTAATCCTAGCGTCCTAGCGTCCTAGCGCGGAGAATCTAATTATGTACAAGAAACCGCGCCGCGCAGATTCTCACACTAGCATACATTCACACACGCTCACACGCACGCAGACGCGAACGCGCGCGGGCACGGCGTACACTGCCGTCTGGGGCAGCACGCGGCCCGCCGAGTGCACTTTGCTTGAGCAACAAGTTCGTCACGAGTTCGTCACGAGTTCGTCCCTTCGTGTCCGTTACAGCGTGCAGCGCCATCACGGCGCGGCCGTCGACGCAACTGTCGCGGCGTCCAGGCCGTCCAGGTGGCCCGGGTGGTCCGGGACCACGGCGTCAGCTGGCTGCCCGTTGGTGCCGTTGGCGCCGTTGGCGCGGCCCGTCCTGCCCGACCTGCCGTGGCCGCCGATGCGGTGGTTGTGGTACGGCCGGAAGTACTGCTGCTGCTGCGCCTGAGCCAGGGTCGCCTGGGCCTGGGCCTGGGCCGCCTGGGCCGCCTGGGCCGCCTGGGCCAGCGCCTGGGGCCGGTGGTTCGGCCCGCTGCCGACGGGAGTCAGCAGAGAGGCGGCGGGGGCGGACTGCACGGACTCCTGGCTGGCCGCCTCCTGCTGCTGCGGCTGCTGGTGGTTCGGATAGAGCGGCGAGAACGCCTCCTGCTGCGTGCTCGCGTCCCCCACTGCAACAGACGAGTCTTTGGTAAACGACAGCCTCCCCAGTGAGGACGACCTTCCTCCAACGCGACCTACCGTAGGCGGGCCCGCCGCCCAGCGGCCGGTAGTCGTCGACCACCTCGTAGCTGTCCCTGTCCCCCGCCGCGTCCCCGCCGCTGGGCGCGCCGCCGTCCAGGGACTGCGACGGCGAGGAGTAGGCGTCGTAGGGCTTGGCGTACGAGTCGTAGGGCTTGGACGAGTAGCTCGTGATGGGCTGGCGGCGGTAGTAGGACGACGCCCCCGCGTGTAGCGGCACGTCGTAGCTGCTGGGCCGCTTGTAGGAGTAGCCGTAGGGCGACGCCTTGGACGAGTACTTGGAGTACGACGGCGGGGCGGGCTTGAAGTGCACCTCCGTGAACTGGATGGGCTCGATGGCTTCGTGGTACCTGGAGGACCAGAAACACGACGGGCGGTCAGACACGCGCGGCTCGGACGCCGACGGCCCTGCCCGGCCCTGCCTGGTGTACTCACGCGTAGCTCTGCTTCTGCTTCTTCCGCGCGCGGTACGAGTCGTACAGCGCGACGGCCAGGGCGGCGGCCGACATGAGGAAGGCCTTCTTGGCGAACACCAGCATGGCGGCGATGGCCACGAGGGACATGAGCGCCGTGGGGATGAGTGCGGCCAGGCGCCGCGAGATGGCCAGCAGCAGGGGGAAGATCATGCCGGCGCGGTGGCCGGTGCGGCCCTCTGCGACAACGAGAACACTGTCATTAGCAGCAGCCGGGGGATGATTGGGATCACGCCCGCGCGGCTGCGCGGCGACCCCTGCAGCCCTCCACGACGTCAACAAGCACGTCGTCGTTAACACGCCGCTCGAAAAAGGCAACAAAACGGCGCGTTTCTAACCGTTTACGCGATAAGCGCGGTGCTGCATCGCATAATTGCAGGGCCGCCATTGTCACCGCGCGCACCGCGCCACCGTCATCGCCGTGCTCCACGCGAGTCCTTTCTCCCTTTCCCTGCAGGGCCTCTCCAGGGCTGGCCGCCTCATCAAGGGCCAGTCCAGGCGAGGCCAGGGCGTGGCCGAGGCGGAGGGGGCGGAGACGGAGAGGGCGGCGTCGGAGAGCACGCGGAGCAGCGACAGCGAAGATGATGAGCCGAAAGTGAAGCTGGTGTTACGCGCGCCGCGCCACCTCCTCGCCTACAACCTAATGGGCGACTGCCATGCGACACGCGGCACGGCACGGCATGGCATGGCGTGGCTTTTCCGAGCGAGACGCACGGCGCCTTGGGCGTGGTGGAGCTTGGCGGCCCGCAGCTTTCTTCGCGCTGAGCGGCGCTGCCCGGCGCTGCCCCTAGTCCCAGTGGCGCCCTGGACTTGCCCGCCGAGCGTCCGCGGGCCCGCGAGTCCGCGAGTGAAGCCGATGCGTGGCTAGTGCGTCCTGCTGGCCTGCTGGCCTGGTGCCGCGTGTCACGGTTGCAGTGGAGGCTCCTCCGCTCCGCCGTTCCCACTTATCAAGCCCGTTCGTTTGGCTCCGCGCTCCACGCTTCGCACGCAATACGCCACTCGGGCGTGTTTCCGGACACCGACACCGACGCGGTCCCCGCTTCAGCGCCAGCTCGGCGTCGCCAGGGGTATACAGTAGATCGGCTGGTCGCGATTCTAACACAGCTCCCTCCCGTCCGTCAAAACTGAAAGCCAATTTGGCCCGCCTTTGGGGTGTTGGTGCCTCAACGGGCCGACTCGAACGAACGAGGCAGCTTTTCCAGAGCGCGCGGTGCGGGGGCGCGGTGCACTTGGCGGGCTGGCCAGACGGAATGCAGTGCAGGCACTACTCGGTCCGGCCGGCCGGCGCATGCACTGCAATGGCGGCAGTGTCCGGTGGCACGCCACGCACGGCACGCACGGTGGCGGTGTGAGGGTCGAGATCACTTTCACCACAAGTGTGGGATTGCGTGACCACCTGACCGGGCGGCGCGGCGGCGGGCGCGGTGGCGTGGCGAACCAGTGCAAGGCGAGGGCTGCGAGTCTTCGAGGTCGACATCAAGGCCAGGGCGACGGACGGGCGGCGCGCCAGCCGAGGGCCGCGTTGGCCAAGGACGAGGAGACCGTGTCGCGGTGTCACTCTACGCCGTGAAGGAAGCGAAGGGCCCCGGGGCAGAGACGACCTACCAGGAACCAGGAGGAGGCAGGCCGAACGGCCGAACCGGACGTGCCTTTCAAATATCCCTGCCGGGAACACGAGTTGCACCGACAGGCCCCCAGCGGCCCTTCAGGACCCTTCGGGAGGCTGGATCTTCCAGGACGCTGGAGGCGTGTCCGCGTGTCCATGTTCCCGAACCCCATCCAGTCCGGCACCGCGAAGCACTGCGCACCACTGGGTGCGGCGTGGCGTGGCGTGGCGCAGCCCCGCCATAAACAGGAACCGGCTTCATCGAATTGGCTGCGCCCGGCGCCCGGCCGCCATGCCGCCATCCTCGACATCCTAGACCAGCGGCCGGCAAGGCGGCAAGGCCGGCGAGAGCAAGCCAATCACTGGCGAATAAATTCCCCTGCAATGCAGCACTCCGCCAGCCCCGCCAGCCCCGCCAGCTCCGCGCGCGCCGATGAGCGAGGAGCGAATGCGCACAGACCTACATTTCCCGCGGGTGCCGCGAAGGGAAGGTGCCGAAGGTCGCGGACTCGCGGGTCCTATCCCACCGCCGCGGCGCGTCGACGCGTTCGGAAACAAGAAAGTGGAAGTGGACTGCGTCGACTGCATCATTAGGCGCGGACGGGCGGACGCGCACAGCCCGGGGCGTCGTCGCGGACCGCGGACCGCGGACTGCCTCACTGGCGGCACGTGCGTACGCGGCGCCCGGCAGTCTGAAAAGGGTCCGTCGCCCTGTCTCTCTCGCACCCCAGCAGAACGCCCGACCCGGCGTGAGTGGAGTCAGTGATGCTGTTTCGCGAGTCAGTGAGGCCATTTCTGGAGCGACCGAGCGACAAAACGGCCGGGTATCAGCCTGCGGGCGACCGTTTCCTCCTTTCAAGTTTTTAACTGGTAAATAGAGGAATAGGTAGGTCAAATGCAGGCCGAGGCACGACGCGGCGACGCGGCAGACATCCCGTGGACCGTGGCGGCATGGGAAGCCGACCATCCAGGTCCTTCTTTAAGGCCGCTTAGCGGAGGAATCCTGTGCAATGAGAAACCCTGCAAACGCCCCGCGCATAGGGTGCAGTTACGGTGCGCCACCTGCTGCTGGCCTTGCTGCCCAAGGCGGGCCCAAGCCAGGCCGGACTGGGCGGGGACGCGACGCTAGGCATGTCGGCGGGGAACATCTTCATTGGCAGAAGACAAAGCGTCGTAAACGCCGGGCCGGCTCAGCGGGGCAGGAGAGCAGCGCGGCAGCGCGGCAGCACTCCAGCGCGGCAGCCCACTAACGGAGAGCGGAGTCACAGTCCGTCCCAAAGCCCAAAGGCATCGCGGTGCGGAGCAGGGAGCGGAGCAGGGAGCGGAGCGGAGCGGGGAAGTTTGCCGCCTGCGAGGTGGGCCGTCCCGGCGCGCAGGGCTGCGCTCGTGTCGCATGGCGGCCCACCTCGCAGGCGGCCCGCTTGACTGGGCCAGCGTACCGCCCTGCCGCTCGCTGCTCGGCGTGCCATCATGGCCGGGCCGAAAGTAAAAGCCGGCGGCGGAGTGGCCGGGGTCCACGGCGTCCATCCGTCCGTCCGCCCGCCAAGTGGGTGTCATTACCAATGTTTTCCTGCTCTTGTCTTTGGCCGGCACGCCGGTCGGCACCGGCCGGCAGCATGGCCGAGGCTCGAAAGTAGGTCCGCGCCCCGCGCCCCCCGCCTGCCGGATTATGAGCTAGCCGGCGTCCTGACCGGCGTCCTGGCCGACGTCCTGGCTGCTTGGTGGCTGGGCCGCTGGGCCGGTGGGGAGTAGAGCCCCGAGCGTGTTTAGCCAACGCATTAGTGGCGCCGAAGAGAGCCGCGGGCACGCCGGGCACGGCGCTGGAGCCTGGACGGCCTGCCTGGACCTCGGACACCTGGTAGTTTGCTCTGTCTACACGCGAAGCGAGCGCGCGCACAGACGCATTTCGCACTGCTCTGTCTCTCTCGCACTCTCGGGGCGTACCGCAGGGGTGCGAGAGCGAGATGGCACGCCTCATCGGGGATGGGAAATGGAATTCGGCGCGGTAGCCGACTTCTCCTTCTCCCACGCGTCGGAGCGGCGGGGCCACACAGGCAGGGAGCACGATGGCGCCCGGCCACGCCAGGCCACTGTCTCCCTCGCACTCAGGGTGCGTTCGGCCAGTTCGGCAGGGCGAGAGAGACAGAGCGACGAAAGCACAGTTCGGACTGGTTCGGACAGCAGCCCGCCGGACTGGCGAGCACAGCGAGCGCTAATGGCGGCCCCGCTGCATGCATGCTCTGCCCGCCCTGTCGCCTGCTTAGCGCCGCCGGGAAGCTTCTAGTGTAATGGCACGGCTCACTATCAGCTGCATCAGGAGCGCGGCGGCGGGCGCGCCAACCCGCCGGGCCCACACTCCGAAAAGAAAATAGGCGGGGGCGTGGCCGGCGTGCTCGCCTCGCCGCCACTCTGCTTGGCTGCCAGCATCGCCAGGGCGGCCACCGTTGCGGCGCACATTACGCTCCTATTAGGCGGCCGGGATGCATAACACCGGCCGGTCTTTTTGTCTTCACGGGTGTAGTGGTACAGTTGCGCGCCAAATTATTGCCCCGATGAGGAATTACGCGGCAAATCACACGACCCGCTGCAGGCGGCGGAGCGGCGGACCGCCTAAGTAGTAGTGTGCCCCCCGCCGGGCCGGGCCGGACCGGGCTGCAGGCTGTTTCGTCGCTCCGTCTCTCTCGCACTCATAAGGCACCCAGTAGAGGTCTGAGTGACGTCAGTTCTGTTCGGAGCCAGCCCGCCGGCTGGCCTAGCATATCCCAGCGGAGTGACTCCCCTCTCGTCCGTCTGTTTGGGTGGCTGCCTGCTCGCTGCCTGCCCGACCCTTCCCTTCGGCATCCTATCATTAAATATTCCCAGTGTGGATGAAAGTGGCGGTCGAAAGGCAAAGGCGCCGTGCGCGGCCGTGCCGCGTTGGGGTAGGGCTGTCTGCAGAGCGACTCGCGGCTCTCGTCGCCCTGCCTTCCTCGCACTCTTGAGGCGTCCCGTCGGGGAGCGAGAGAGACAGGGCGGTAAGGCGCAGGGCGCAGCGCGGCGACCTAGCGCCAAATGGCAAATACGCGCAAATCCAGGTCCAGCGGGGGAACGGCCGGGGAAGCGACTGTGCGACTGCGACTGGCAGCCTGCCCGGTGCACTCCAAAGTATGGAGGCCAATTTGAGTCCCGTGGTTGGTACCCACCCGGACGGCCGGGACGGGACGGGGCCGGCGGGGCCTCTTCCGCAAGCCAAGACCGTCAGTTGGCGAACGAGCCTGCCCGTCCGTCCGTCTGCCCGCTCCGCACATTTGGGCGCCTCCCTCCGAGGTGTCGTAAACAACAAAAATCATCCTCGCCGGAGCCGCACCGCGGCGGTACAGTCGGGGCGGGGTGGGGCGGGGCGTACGTGCCGCCAGATTTACGGCCTGAAAAGTAAGTGCCGTCCGCTTTATGGACAGTCGCATTCGCATTCGCGTGCAGGTACAATGTACATCCCGCCGGCGAATATAGACGCCGAAACGGGCGTCTGCCGTTTGCGTTTGGCGTTGTTGTCTTCCTCGCTGCTGGACCGCTGGACCGCTGGGCAGGCCTCTC